TGTGTGTGTGTGTGTGTGTGTGTGTGTGTGTGTGTGTGTGTGTGTGTGTGTGTGTGTGTGTGTGTGTGTGTGTGTGTCGTGCCGTGTGTGTGTGTGTGTGTGTGTGTGTGTGTGTGTGTGTGTGTGTCGTGTGTGTGTGTGTGTGTGTGTGTGTGTGTGTGTGTGTGTGTGTGTGTGTGTGTGTGTGTGTGTGTGTGTGTGTGTGTGTGTGTGTGTGTGTGTGTGTGTGTGTGTGTGTGTGTGTGTGTGTGAGAGAGAGAGAGAGAGAGAGAGGGTGGGGAGGGGGGACGAGAGTGCGAGACAGAGAGAGACAGTGGGTTGATTTTCCCCAGATACATGTATCTGCTTTGGTTTTCGGAAATTAATAGGAAGACGCCCACACCCGAAGGTCTCATCCAGGGCTTGTGAAAAAATTCCTTTTAGCTTATAAAATGTAAATGTTCTGCATCAGATTAAGGCGTGATGGGATGCCTCCATTATGCTGCCATCGGGGACAGCCAAGTACTGCAAAACCAGTATTATACATGTACGACCTGTCGCATGTTTAGCACGTATTTCGGGCCTCTGATGGGGTGCGGTTAAAAAGTGTCATTGCAAAGAAGTCATCGACTAAATATAGTGACTTACTATATGTAACCAAGATCAGCGACTAAATATTTGTGACCAAGATCTTGTTTACTTCGGTTATAAACTTTAATAGCTTCATGTGATAGTGATTGAAATTGTAAATGTCCTCACATACAATGAATAGAATGACAGCCACTTAAGAAAAGAAAGATGTGGTAAACCTTGTTTTAAATATGAAGGGGAGAGTTTATGCTGGTTTAGATAGTTCGATACCTAAAGAGCGAATTATCGACGGTTTTTTTTTTTTTTTGCGTTGTTCGTATTTCACCACTTTGTCCAATGTCATCTTTGGCATTCACATAAAAGTAAAGAATGTAATATCCGAATATTGGGAATTTAATAGCGTGGTGATGGTGAATGGGGTCAGGGGTAGTTGGATGGAGTGGGGGGTGGGTGCAAAGGATTAAACATTTTTAGTCTCTCTTCGCTCGTAGATGAGGACACCTTAAGTAATAAAATTAATAAAAGCTTTATCTATTCTTGTTGCGTCATCAGACGGGACTCCCACTTTTACCCCAACCAGCGTCTGGTTTAAAGAAATCACAGTTATGATCGCTCGTTAAGACTCACCACGGTAAAGGGGTATTACACTTTAAAAACAGACTGAAGGTTATCATGTTTTAATATAATGATTTTTATGACATTTCTCATATTTTTTCTGTAAATTTGAGAAAATATTGACGGAAAGCTTTGTAGCCGATAGCACCAGATTCTTAAGTTGTAAACTGGGCACCTAAACAGCAGGCGTTACCAAAGCCATGCACAGCTTCGCAAATGTGATTTACGTTTTTTTAAAATTCTAAACAATCCAAATTCAAGTGCAGAATAACTAATGAGCAGAATTTAATTAAAGGGGTAGCAATAAATGTGTAAATAAGGCCTTTAAACTTCATTGGCCGAATGCCGCTTTAGAAAATGCATTCTGATTTATTGAGGAAACATGAATGCTTAAAATAGAACTAGGGTTCAAGTTTCAATATGGTTGTTTATCCAAATACATTTTCCATGTATAAGGACTCAGTTAATTGGGTTCAGCCCCCGCTTCACTAAGGATCCCTAAGGATCCGCCACGGCCAATATACAGTATGTCGCTGAATGTCCGGTGTCATAGTTTTGCTATTCACTTCCTTATTATGGTCTGATGAAATTTTGTATAAGCGGAACAGGGAGAGGCATAATTTAAATAATAATCTTTTTCCTCATCACGAGCGTTAACGCAAGAATTGTAAGGCAGCCATCATTTTACATCTTCAAACATAAATTACTATGCCGCGTCTTCTTGGTGCACGGGCACTGTAGTAGGGAAACATCAAATGGAGTTGAATGCACCTGTTGAACTACGGAGCACTTCCAGAGGGCAGACCTCCGCCTAAGCAAACAGTAAATAAATGAGAAAAGAAAACGAAAAGATAATCAAAAGTATCAGAGGACCCGGATTCACTTCAATTTGCAATCAATTTTCCTTGTCACGCTGAAAATTTCATCAAAATCTGTCAAGTAAGTTTTGAGATATGTTCTCCACCAACAAACCAATGGCGATGTAAGCGTCATTATCACATCCTTCGATGGCGAAGATAATAAAAAAAGTAAACAGAATATTGTGTAGCATTGGGATGTGTATCCCATACACTGGCGGATCAAGGATTTTGCTAAGGGTGGGGGAGAGGATGGGCCTGGTGTAAGGACACCGATATTTTTGGCGATCGAATAAGACGAAGATAATTTTACTGTAATATGTAGGCAGAGGTGAACAATTGGTTTGTTTTTTTTTCTTCTCATTTTGCTTGATATACTTTTTATGTATAGAGAAGGTTGAAGGTGGGGATGGGGGTGAGGCGTCGGGAAGGGACGGGAGAAAGAAGGGTTTTAACCCGAAGCTAAGGGTAAGGAAGAACTTGCTCCTCTTTCTGGGTCCACCATTGAGCAAGTACCTGGTAAAGAAACTCCATTTGTGTGACCGTGACGTTAACTTCACAGTGTAGCACAAACAGGAAAATTGTGGCAAATAATTGACTTCTATTGTCCGTATATGCGTGTGGTTTTATGTTACTATATTTATATATCTTTTATGTCGAACATGACCCATGGCCTAATTACGCTCCCTACCGAACGCGGAAATACATTGATAACTGCACCTTGACAGGCCGCTAAAGTGACGTGTAGTTCACCTTGATATATGCATATTTTGGTAAGGTAATGTAATGCCAAGGAGAGCCTATATAAGGCGAGCGTTTTCCAACCTTCTTCATTTGTGTTAATCCGTATCCGAAATACATATTTTTTGAAACAGAGGTGGACATTTATGATTATGAAGATATTAACTCTTTGTTACGCTTGCGCGTTATTTGTTTTTGCAACTGCAGAGGTAAGTGTGAGATGTATGTCTTGTAACTCTCTGTCTGTCTGTCTGTCTCTCTCTCTCTCTCTCTTAAATATGTCTTGGTAAGTGGTTTAAAATTGTTCTATAGTGACCGAATGTTCTATCACAATTTTCTAGCATTAAATTTCACATTTTGTTCTATTGCAGCAGCAGCAGCAGCCTCAATGCGTAAGTTTTCGATTTATTTAAGTCATTTAATAAACCAAATGTTTATCGCTTATGCAGTTGATCTTCAGTCGCAGTCTAAAAGGCAGCATGAACTTTTTTCATTACCAGTACAACTCTGAGACACAGAGATTACGATGCAGATTAATAAAGCTAAGATTTACACGGTAGCCAATAGGTATTTTACTCAACCTCCAATAAATATTGTCTTCACTTTTAATTGTTTATTTGACTGTATATTTCGCGTTTGTAAAGAGTGATTCTATAGTAAAGGTCTATTTTGTATGTATATGCCGTACTTATTTACCAAGCTCAGGTTGTAATTTTATTATATTGGTCACATTTACAGAACCCCCCTTGCTCAACAGGTGATAAATGTGTGCTTCAAAGAGTGCAGTGTGTCAGGTTTCCCTGCGATCCAGTTCCCGTGTGTGTCAAGGATCCTTGTAACGTAAGTGTCTAGAGTGCCAGGGCTTTACATGATTCCAGATGAATAGTAAAACGGCGTGCAATATTTAATCCGAAATTTGATTAGATAGGCTGAGATTGAAACATTATTGCATTATTGCGTGCGTTCAAATTAAAGTGAAACACACACTGATCAATGTTGTTCAAGTATAAACCACAGAAACAACATCATTTACATTAATTTAACTACACACTTTTAAGTTTTAGATTAAAAAATCTAACCACACCCCGTTTTCCGCAGAGATAATGTGTTGATTTTGTAAATATGTTGGTTCTTCAGGGTTGCAAAGGTCTTTGCACCTCGGAAGACACTTGTGGAACGCCATGTGACGTGAGAAGTTTTTGCCTCCCACCGCCGCCACCAACAGGATGTGCGGTAAGCACGGCCAATGCAAATATTTACCGTATTATGTCGAGAGTCTTGATTATATCCATGGCGGAACCAGAAAAGGGCACATGTCCCATCCTTAACGACTGTGGTACTCACTTCTCCTCCCCTCCCAATAGGCCATACTATGTTATAGCACAAGGTATGACGGTGGAGTATATTTACTTTTCATTTGTTTTCAGGCAATGCTGTGTGCCGTGGGCCACAGGTGTGTGGAGGGTCCAGATGGACAAGGGAAGTGTGTGCCTTCCTGCGCGGTAAGTAAAGAATCGGTGGACAGTGATCAGTGAATTTTTGTGCAAATCCTGGTGTGATATTACGTTGGTCTGATGTCCCCCGGCCGTGGTACTTTATTCACCCCCCCCCCCGCCCACCACCAACTATCTTGTGTTAACCTGTGTTAAATGTGGCACCCCTTTTTAGTCCGCAGTCCACTGGTGCTTCCGACACACTGTTTACTAATGTAAACGATATAAAAACAGTTTTATACTATGTGCTTAAATTGTCTATGGAGCTCGGCTGGATCGGGTTTGGTTATTGTGACATGTGCAACGTGCAGCATGTCTGGTTATCGATATTTGATGATTTGCTCAATATGTGTCTGTCAACTCCTATTGGAATCGTTTTTTAGATAACTCTTTTCATTATTCAGAACTGCTGTGTTGTATGATTATAAGAAATTCAATGTAATGACTCCTTTCTTCCAGCTGATTGACTGTCAACCTGGATATGACTGTACTGAAGGTCCCCTTGGCGGGAAATGTGTTCCGGTAACGTGTAAGGTAAGAGCCGTTATGTATAATTCAAACTTAGGATTAATTATGGAGATTGTAGGCAGAAATTTGAAAATCTGGCCTGTAAACCAGCCATTAAAACATCCATATTTAATTATTTTGAAGTTTTCAAACATTTACGCACAAGGCACTGAAATGGCACTTAAAGAGATTTATCACATGAAGGACTTCCTACATAGGGTAATGTTATGAAGTGATAATTACTTTGTTTTTCCACATCAAGTTCTCAAGTGATGTTCTAATATGATAATATCATTTAAATATATTAGGTGACCGGTTGTCCGAAAGGAGAAAAGTGCGTATCGTCGAATATCTCCGGGTACAGATGTGTGTCCACGTGTGTTGTAAGTGTGCATACTACACGAACTACGAAGTTAAAAGTTGACATATTGTGCATTGATAGTCCATTTTTGAACACTCATCATTAAAGAATCAAGTATTTCATGAAGTATGAAAGTTGTGTAAAATTAATAAAAGTAACAGCCACCGATTTGAAGAATTTGGTTTGCTATGGATTCCTTCGACTAAATTTATTTCATTACTTCCTCTCTTTAGATCCGAAATTGCGCTGAGAACCAGGTATGCCGCGACACGCCGATTGGAGCAGTGTGCGACGATGCCGAATCCTGTGATGTAGGTGCAGATACTACTGAATCAAAGTCATATTATTCTTCGACCCAACTTGGTTTTATTATTTTACTTCTCATTTCAGCAATATAATGAATATTCGTCGTAACTATTTTACGAATGCTGGATTGACTTTTCAGAGATTATTTTATTATGCAGTACTATTTAATTGAATAAGATGTCATTGCCATGAGTTGTTCTTTTGAACAACTAGTGCTGACGTACTGTATTTTACAAATGTAATTTAAACTAGCATTGACGTGTTTAACGTGAAGATTCTCCTTTATCAACATCTGATGCACGTGTATTTTGCAGCAAGTCACGTGCAACCCAGGACGACGCTGTGTTGGCGGTCCATTTGGCAGGGTCAGGTGTGTCGACACATGCGCGGTAAGTAGAGATTGAATTTATTGGAATGAAATGTTGTCATCTTCACGTGTAATATTTGATTTCTCAGCAGTGTGATATTAACACGTTTTTGACCACAAAATCGTTTTGCTTCATGTGGTAAAATGTCTGTGTATCTTTGTCGAGGTAGCTACTTTTAAAGTAAATATTATCTTTGTTTTTTAAGTATTCAATCTGTATATCTGTTTAAAGATGCTAAATATAACATAATCTTTCAGACCAAGCGCTGTATGCCCGGTTTTAAGTGTGTAGAGTCCCCATTCGGAGCGCACTGTGTTGCTTTAACGTGCAGAGTAAGTGTAGAACTAGTGGTTCTATAATAGTCAAATGGTGCAGTTAAAAAATAAAATAATTATCTACATGGCTGTCCAGTCCATGAGATGTTCGAAAATGTGGGTCCAAATATAAGTAAACCTTGCAAGAGAAATGAAATAACTCGTAATTATGTAAGTGAAGTAACAGAACCATTCTCGCTTCACTTCGAACAATATGATAATATATATGTATAATAGTCTCACGCGTCAGCGAGTTAGTGAGCCGTTAATTCTTTGTCAGAACTGTCCCTTTTTGCAAAGACTATTGCCGCCACTGTTTATCAAATTATATGACATTTCCTAGTACTTTCAAGTCTTATAGCATAGCCGGACTATATTTGCACAAAGTTCCGTGTATTGTAGGACCTGACATGTAGGCCATATGAGAGATGTGTGCAGCTTTCAACTGGAGCAAAATGTGTTGGAACTTGCGCTGTAAGTATTCAAGGGTATATAAAACACCACACAGCATATAAAACAACTTTGAGCCACTTGTCTCTTTAACGTATTGGTTTGTCAGTAATAGTATAGAAGCTGAGAAATTGTCGATTTGGCTTTCTAGTCTAAACCTTACATAGATAATTGAAGTATGTAAATGATGGGTTGTTCTTGTCTCGCGTTTTGGGAAGGTGGGTCTTTGTGGTGGAATGTGGGTGGGTCTTCGTCGTGTGGGTGGGGGTCTGGTGTGTCGGCACATGCGCAGTAAGTTGAATTATGGAACCAAATGCTGCCATATGCATGTGTATTACCTGAATTTGGTAAGGTGAAATGAATACGTCTTGTCCGCCTTGTATAAAAAATTGATTTGCTTCACGCAGTAAAATTGTTGTGTACCTTT